ATGGCGTCTTTCTAGTCACGCGGTAACACTCCATTTTGGAGAGAAAGCTTGAAGATCGTAGTCAAAGGGCCGGCTATGTGGGCTGATAGCTCCTTGAGAAGCCTTGCATGAAGATTATCAGGACCCATTGATTTCCCTGCATCTAGTTTCCTTAGGCAGTTGAGCACGATGCCTTGGTCGATGTCAACGGAACCTATCCCAAGTTCTTCTGATGCAGCCAGAGCTGATCCTATAGGCAGTGATGACTCCTGAGTAAAGACTTGGGAGAAGTCCATGCTCTTCTTACATATCAGAAAGTGGAGTAGTTAAATGCATTGATCACTTGAACGGAAAAATCCCACTGACTTTCATAAGTTAGAAACTAAAAAAATATCTTTCCACAAATTAATATACTCTGCAGGAGTGCATTTTACTTCATCATAAGACTGTGAAACCCATTGAGGACTGAAGACTTAAAATTTCAAATATCCGGTCCCCATTACCTTTGTTGCATTGCTTGCAGGTTACAAAACCATCACGCTAGTATAGTATAGTATAGTTAAGACCTGCAGTCTCATGTAATTTAGGTGAACCAGTTAACTGTTATATATACTCTTTTGATGCGGGTAAGGTATGCTCAAAATACAGTCACGTTTCTTTTCCCTAACTGTAGTAGAGAAGCAAGATGAGGAAGGTGGTGTGAGTAAGGGAGAGTGATGCTCAGGAAGCTTCGTGTGCTTTTGGAAGTGTGTGGGCGGTTGTTACTTCCCTGCTGCCCACACCGTGGAAGTTGATTGATTCTTCGGGAACCTGGGACAGTGTTGCGTGATTGCAGAACCCAGGGGACAAATGTTTGAGGCCGGTCACACGCGGCCTGTTTTTGTTTGTTCTTTTTTGATATAAGTATAAAACTTGGGCACTGTGGTAGAGTATAGCTCCATAATGGATAAGATTTTATTTTAATAAATCACACAGTGTTGTACAGTCGAATCATATTGCTCATAATCATATCAAGTTCAACTTGATATGATTATGAGCAATAGTTTGTGCTCGAAACGTCATTTGTTCTTTTTTGTTTGGTGTGTCTCAGTAGCATATTTATCACTTCTACCCTGTGACACGGCAGCAGGAAGCGCGGTCGTTGTTAATCCGGCCCCTGACCGATCCGGCATGATATTTTGTGAATTTGTTTGAATCATAGTATTGGATTAGGTAGCTGCTTTTTGTTTAACCGGTATCCAAACAACCTTTCTGGCATGGTAGGACCTGCAGGAACATAAGTTCCAGCCAGTGTAGCTCGTTGGGTCATTGCGATATGCAAGCCCGACCACCACGCCAAGGTAGCAGCTATCGGTTGGGTCTTTTGCCAGTATGTGTGACAGTATTAAGCTACGATTTAGTTGAGGATGGTTGAACATTACATCAACCGCAGAGAGTGCTTTCAGTCTGAGATAAAAAAAAACAATGAGCAAAATTTGCTAATCTTAGATCCTTTCAGAGATGAATGTCGATAATTTACGACTAAATGATAGGATTTGTAATCTATCATATATAGGGTTAGAGGCTCTTGTTGATTTCTTTTCTTTATTTACTCATCCTCTTATTTAGTTTAAATACTGGTTTACCACTTCTGATTTCCATATATTTTGGATTGCTTTTCAGTCACTATATTACCCTCCTACTTAATATATGAGTGTAAAGTAGGCTGTGAAATTACATCGACTGAGATGGTTAGGACATGTTTTACGTATGCCTAGTCATCGCCTTCCTCGACAAAGGGCAATGTTAGCTGATATAGGGTCAGGCTGGAAAACAGCTAGCGGTGGTCAAACAAAAACGTGGCACCAGTCAATGAAATCCACAACAGTCAGTCTAAGCCAGTCACGTAGGAAGGTGTAGACTTCCTGACTGGTCGGGGTCCTCGGGACGGTAAAAACCAATAGTTGGAATCAATTGGGGACATGGCTCAAAATCGTTCTCCGTGATGGCGCAGATACATCCACTCCTTGTGACTCATGATTTCCAATGAAACTTTTGTTCTTCGTTATTACTATACCTTTGTTTCACACCTCTGTTTACTGTCTTTATGATGCATTTTTCCTACTTTCTTCTCTTGCTTTGTGTGCTTCATGGAGTGTGGCGACTTGAACTGCCGCACATATGTGCAAAGTTCTATGTCGATAACAGACAGACAGACATATAATTGTAAAGTATAATAAATTGCACTCATACACACCAGTAGTGATATGTGTTACATCAATGATTTCAATTAGTCTTGAGAAATTTCCAGCAGACTTGCGAAATTTTACTGAAAATATATATAGCACATCAGTAAGATGTCCACTAGCCCACTGCAACATTCACTGGCAATGCTCACACACACCCCAAACTGTAAGCTTATAAATATATGTCCCTTGACTTAATCGTTAACATAACTATTTTTTAAAGTCACCTTTCAAGATTATTTTATTTAATAAAACAAATACTTAGTACATTGTGGGAACTAATAGATGCGCCACACAAAATTTTTTATCGTCTGTGTAAAGTCTGCGATACTGCCTGGGCACCCAGACTAGAGCAGGTGCTTGTCATAAGAAACCACCCGGAGGCTTTAACTTCAAGTCTGATTCACAGGTCAGTGGAGCTGCGTTCCTTTGGTTGCCGGTGACTAAACCAAGTCCACACGTTATTCGATCCGTTTGGATTCTAGAGCCCATGTACACCACAGGTTCAGAATCAGAGTTTTCCAGGTCCCCTAGATATCCACCAGTCCGATTATAAGCGTCTTTTCACCTTCAACACGTGAAGGCAGTAAATAGAATTTCACAAGCAGAGGCTATGATCGCGTGGCCACATGAAAGCATTTTGGGGGGAAGACTGAAGTCTATCTACCCTTTGCCGTACCATTTTGTTTATAGAAGCGAAGAAGAAGAAAATAGGAGGAGTTGAACACATGACCATCCCATCTAAATTTTTTACTTTTAAGTACATTTTGATACAAGTAGGGTCTAAGTAAAAGTGGGTAGAACAACCCACTTCTGTTTTTAAATCCCTAGTAAACTATGATAATAGGAGTACCACTCATGCTGTTAGATTTTCGTACAGTTATATCATTCAAATGGTATTCTGATTTTATTTTTCATTACTTTTCATTCCAGAAGGGAATATAAGGTTGAAGCTTGAGCTTTGAAATTCCTGTAGGTTTGGGTTAGTAGCCCCACGCCCAACCTTCCATCTTTCCTGAACTCACTACTGGCTAAGCTAGGTTTAGGAGTGCATGGACAGTTAGTCGAAAATGGACTATGTGCGTGGTTGGCGAACATTTTCTACCATGGGATCACCGATACATTTTCAAATGATTTCATTATTATTTGATCAGTTATCATTCATTTGTCTCTGTTTTATCGTCTGTGCAAAGTTTGCCATACTGCCCGGACACCCAGACTAGAGCAGATGCTTGTCATAAGAAATCACCGCGAGGCTTTAACTTCAAGTCTGATTCACAAATCAGTGCAGCTGCATTCCTTTGGTTGCCGATGATCAAACCAAGTCCACACGTTATTCGATCCGTTTGGATTCTAGCTTCCTGTTTGACATCAGTCAGTGGTCTAAACTAAATGGTCTCATTCTGAATCCCTCAAAATGTCAGACTACTGACTTCTCCTTTAGGCATAAACGAGATCTACAAACACTAGTAAGTTCTCGTGAAGCCTGTTGTATTGAGGGGACTAAAATTGAAACTAAGTCTAATGCAAAATACCTCGGTTTAGTTCTGTCTTCCGACCTTACTTGGACATCTCATATCCTAATGATTCCTAAGAAAGTTTTCTGTCTAACCTACTACATTGAGAAACTTAGACAATCTGGAATCACCCAACCTCTACTTTCACAATTTGTCAACTCTTGTATCTTACCTATTCTACTTTACTGCTCCCCGTTAGTCTTTCCTGGGTTATTGAAAAAGGACTATGCCATCCTGAAAAGAATGTTGAAGGTAGTTAGTAGGACTAGTGGTGTAAAACTCAGTAAAGCTCGTCACTACATTAGTTGAAAGGCATCTGAATACATGCGAAAAATGGTCTAAAACCATACTCTCCGATCCCCAACACCCCCTCTATTCCCAACTCTCGCCTTGTATCTCATCAAGTAGAATCAGAAATCAGTGATACCATACTTGGCCCGTGTTCTAAGCGACATAGACAGTGTTAAGCGTGAAACCTTTGACTTGCTTTGTTGTTAATAACATAATTTTAGGCTCTTTAATTTCTCTCTTATTTGATATTCTTTAGTGAACTCCTTCTTAAACATACTTAGCTACCTAAATTATTAACATTGGCTTCCTTTTTTGTACTTTCCTCTTTTCCTTCTTTTGTGTATCTACTGGTTCCGACTATATTAGCACTATGAGTAGTACAAAATTTTCCTGTCATTAACCATCATGTAATTATTAGTTTTGTGGTTGTTTTTTTTTCTTATTTTTTATTTTTTTCGGCAATATTAACTGACAATCATTGGTTTCTGAAAGCCATTATCGCCATCTTAAAATTTGTATTATGCAGGACTACTCACACTACCACTACACTGCATTAGACCTGACAATAAAAAACAAAACAACAACCCTGAAATGTTATTTTATGATTGTTTAGTGTTGTTTCAACCAAATTAACTGATCTTCTTGGCTATAAACATACTTAAATATCATTTCATAACTTCTTGTATGATTATAGCTTTACTGTCACCATGCATAATCATATCATAGCTTCCACTACCCAATACTGAGCTATTATTATATGCTGTTTATTTTCCTTTCTACTTCTTGGTATTTTTTCGCATTTTTTAAAGTTAATTTGTTTTTTTTTGTTGTTGCTGTCTTTATATTTATTTTTTTTGAAATACTTTTAAATGTTTGATAAAATTAGATGCAAATATTGTAGATATGTGCTGAAAATTCCACACTGTACCACTAGTACTGTTTCTGGAATAAAGCAAATTATTATTATTGTTATTATTATTTATTGTAGGCCTTCCAAAATTATCTATCGTCCACTTACAACAATGTTTAAAGCAGTAACAATGAAGTATCTAAGCTTATTCATTCTTGTATTTCAAAATCTACTCTATATCTTATGCATGCGTCATGCAAGATCACGAACAACAGAAGTTTTCATCCCATCATCTATGGTTACAATGAGTGAATGTGTAAAATTTATCACATGTCTTCTTGTTCTAAGTTATGCTGGAGATTTGAAAAGAACGTATAGACTCATGAAGCGTAACCCATTGGATGTATTAATGAATTTTATACCTGCTATAATCTATGTAATACAGAATCGTTTCTTGATAGCAGCTTTAAGTAATTTGGATGCTGTTACATTTCAGGTAAGTAGAAAAAATCTGTTAGTAAAAATATATTGATTAGTTTAGGTGGCTTATCAATTGAAACTTTTCACAACAGCACTATTCAGTATGCTTATTCTTCGAAAACCAGTCAGTACTATGCAATGGTTCGCTTTAGTATTATTGTTTATTGGTGTTGCAGCAGTAGAATCACCTGGCGATAGTAAAACATCTACACTGCTGCAGCCAGCAGCGCATAATCCCCCGTTAGGATTATTCTGTGTGGTATGTGCTTCAATACTTTCTGGTTTAGGATGTGTATTTTTTGAAATGGTAAGTTATCTAACTGAATTTTAATTACTTAACGCTGTGAAAATATCTCTCAAATATTTATGACTATATGACATATTGTGCTGAACGACTTGTTTTGTTACAGATTTCATCACAGGCGGACATCATTTAGACAACCCACTGGAAAACCAGAGAGTACTAGACAGTTGTTTCATCCGAGTTTGACAGCCTCTAGCAGTACCCACCCACCGGAGTTCGGAACTGAGACCTTGAGGTTACAAGGCGAGCTCGTGGACCATTCAGCCATTGTAACACTGAATACGTCAGTACCACACCATATTAGTCAGTTAGAATTCATATTAGTTTGTTTATTAGGCATATCACACAGTGAAACAGTATTATTTACTGGGTGACGTTTCGAACAAAATTTATTGTTCATAATGATATCAATTGTAATCACACGACTTTGACACTTGAGTTTTATAGTTTTCTTTGTTTTCGCCTATTTGTCGTCGTTGGGGTAGTAAAATTTTCCAGATATCTGGGTGAACAGGTGTTGAATCATTCGTATTACACGTATTTGTAGTTGATTCGATAAACAAAGCTTCTGTTATCAATCTCTCCCTATACCCTGTGACATCAGATTTCAAAACTGTCATCCTTTCCCATCCTATTGTATGGTTGTGTGTGACTGCATGTAGTGCTATAGCTGAACTATTCTCTAGATTTCTTAACTTATTCGGGTCAACCAATCTAGATTTTCCTAGGTTTGTATGTTCAGCTAGTCTGACTGTCCCTGTTCTACTAGTTTGACCTATGTATTTGACCTGACAATCATTGCAGGGTATTAGGTAAACTAAATTGTTTTGTTTTAAAGGCTCCACAGGATTGATCCTTTAACCGACAAAGCTTCTTTCTAATTGAGTTTGTGGGTTTGAATGCCGTTTTTATTCCTGCCTTGCTAAGAATTCTGCCTAAGACCTTCGAGGTTCTTTCCTTGTATGGAATTACTACTGATGATTTAGATTCTTTACTGTTGGTGTCGTCATTAATATTATTATTATTAGCATCACTATTATCATTATTATTGTTATTAACCCTATCGTTACTATCATTATTTATTTTATTTTTACATTTCTTTACATATTTCTTGATTAATTTATCCGGGTAATTATTAAGTTTCAAAGCTTCTTTTATGTGTATCAGCTCCTGTTTTAGATTTTCTTTGGTACTACTTAATTTTTGTGCTCTGTCATTTAAACATTTCACCAACCCTATTTTTACTGACATGGGATGGGATGATCGGAAGTCCAAATATCTGTTTGAGTGTGTGGGTTTCCTGTAAACACTAGTGTGTTTAACTTCCCATTTTCTTTTCTATTTACGCTACAATCTAACATCATGAGCTCCCTTTCTTGATTTTCCAATTCATAAGTGAATTGAATTGCTCCAATCTTTGAGTTGATGTGTTCGAAAAACCTAGCTATATCTTGTGTTCTAAGTACAGTGAATGTGTCATCTACGTACCTCCACCATACTTTTGGGGTGGGGGTGAACGTTTCAATCGCTATGCTTTCCCACTTATCCATGAATATATCTGCTACCACTGAGGATATTGGTGATCCCATGGCAACTCCCTCAGTTTGTTTGTATATTTTCCCTTGAAATTTAAATACTGTGGAAGTCACGCATAGCTGTACTCCCAGCATTATGTCCTCAAGTGGCACTTTTGTCCTAAGTTAGAGTTCTTAGTCAGAAATGAGTTCGTTTCTGACTGCCTCCATAACCATATTTATTGGTATACGTGTGTATAAACTAACAATGTCAAAACTAACATTGACATTTCGGCAGAAAGCCGAATGATTTAAGTTATTCGTTATTCTAGACAGTTTGAAACGACCATCCTACTGTCAAGTATGTGTGAAAGAAGTCACAATTAGCAAATTAAAGATCGAATCAAAATTTCCAAACATCGAACTAAAAGTGGCATGGATATTCCTGACACTGATGTCCTAACCGATGATAGCTGCTACACTGATGTAGTTAGTGCTGAGGCTTGCATATCACAATGTCCTAAACAGCTACACTCACTGGAAGTAATGTTTTTTTCGCTGGTCCTATCATGCCAGAAAGGTCGTTTGAACAGCGGTGAAACTAAAAGAAGCAACAATTTTACTCCTCCTTATGCGAATAAAATCAAAATGCATAACCTCAAAGCATGTGGGCAGACCTGGAGCCAAGTGAAAACTCTAGCAGAGAACCGATCGCAATGGAGACGCATGGCTGAAGCCCTATGTTCCTCTAGGAACTAAAGGAAATAATAATAATAAATAATAATAATAATAATAACCTCAAAGATTGAAGTAAGTAGAATGTGTTAGTTAATGCAGGAAATAATAATGCTAGACTATAATGTAGATTTTTCAGTTCATTTCCTATATTCCTTTCTTCATGCAACTCCTGTGCTAAATAGAGTATGGTTGAGTTTTTTTATTATATTTGAGCATTTCAAGCATAAATTGCAATGAAATTACATATAGTCTTTCTTGAAGGGATAGAGATAGTGTGAAGTGGTAGAGCACGTTGACCGCTTCACTTACTTGGGAAGTACCATCAGCCCCAATGGGTTGATCTCTGACGAAATCTCAGCTAGAATACAGAGGGCTAGGTTCGCATATGCCAGTTTACACCGTCTCTGGCGTAGACGTGATATCCGACTATCGACCAAAGGGCGTGTGTACTGCTCATCAGCCCGCTCCGTCCTCCTTTATGGCTGTGAGACCTGCCCATTGAGAGCAGAAGACATGGAAAGATTAGCTGTCTTTGATCATAGGTGTCTGCGTTCTATCTCCCGTGTGAAGTGGTATAATAAGGTGAACAATATTGAGGTTAGGCGTCGAGTCCTAGGTGGGTGGGAGGGGAAATCAGTCGACGAGACTGTGAAATTACATCGACTGAGATGGTTAGGACATGTGTTACGTATGCCTAGTCATCGCCTTCCTCGACAATGGGCAATGTTAGCTGATATAGGGTCAGGCTGGAAAAGAGCTAGTGGCGGTCAAACGAAAACATGGCTTCATCAGTCAATGAAATCTACAACAGTTAGTCTAAGCCAGCCACGTAGGAAGGTGTAGACTTCCTGACTGTTTGGGGTCCTCGGGACGGTAAAAACCAATGGTTGGAAACAATTGGTGACATGGCTCAAAGTGATCGTTCTCAATGGCTGGCGCAGATACATCCACTCCTTGTGACTTATGATTTCCAATGAAACTGTTTTGTTCTTCGTTATTACTATTCCTTTGTCTCACACCTCTGTTTACTGTCTATATTATTATGCATTTCTCCTACTTTCTTCTCTTGGTTTGTGTGTTACATGGAGGGAGTGTGGCGACTTGAACTGCCGCACATAAGTGCAAAGTTCTATGTCGAAAACCGACCAACCGACCGATATAGTGTGAAAGTTATGAATAAAGACGATGTTTTGTATTCGACAAGATAGCGTTAACCAACTGCTTGCACAATTAGTCAGTTAGTTGAGTCAAACACTCACCATTAATCTTGCTTAGAGCCTTCAGAAACCAAAGGAAAGAATTATTATTATTCCCTAAGACTCCGAGTAGAACATAGGGCTTCAACAATACCTCTGCATTTCATTCTCTTCACCGCACTCGTCTTTACCTGGCTGCACGATGGTTGATAAGCTCTTATTTCCTTCTCACACGATTTCTCCTGCACATCACCCTCAGAATTACGCCCAAATCTTTCCTCCCCCCTTTGGGATTCCCGCCTGGAAGGTGGTGGTTTCACTCAACGTGTGTCCTGTCCACCTCTATTTTCTTCGGCATATGTTTTTGGGTGATAGTTTCTCGGTTGATTCGTTACCAGAGTTCCATGTGTTGCTCATCCTTTCAGACCAGTCATCTAATCTTCAATGTAGAACCAGTGAAGGCACCTGTTGATAAAAGTCTTCAGTAGCCTGTGCAAAATGCTTCCGGTGACACACCAAGTCTCTGATTATTATTATTAATGTTCCCTTGGGTTCCTAGTGGAACATAGGGCTTCAAATACACGTCTCCACTTGCTTCTGCTTTCTGCTGTACTTTTCACCTGCATCCATGTTAGTCCATACTGTTTCAACTCCTCTTCACACAATCTCCTCCATGTCACCCTTGGACGTCCCACTCGCCGCTTCCCTCTCGGGTTCCCCTCGAGCGTTGGCCTGACACGCGATGTCACCCAGCGGCTTCCTCAGCGAGTGTCCAATCCATCTCCACTTTCTCCTGCATATTTGTTGGGCGAATGGTTCTTGTTTTGTTTCTTCCCATAGTTTGTTTCTTGTTGGTGATTCTTTCCGGAAGTCTCTGAACCATACATAAATACTAACTTGACACTGGTGTTAAAAATTTGAATCTTGTTGTTGATGCCGAGTGCAGTAAATCTCCACACTGATTTCAAAGCAGTAAAGGTCTATCTTGCTATTCCGATCCTAGCTGGCTTTGAAATCTTCATCCGTGCCATCTGCCTGCTAGTTGAAACGATGCTGCTTAGATGAGTAAAAGAAGCTACCCCTTTCAAATTTTTCCCCGTTAATAGTGATTGGTTGTTGTTGTTGTTGTTGTTTGAATATCTTCATCACTTCTGTCTTCTTTACGTTCACTTGAAGCCTTATTTTTTTTGCTGTCTACCTCTTCCACCAACTTGTCGGTCTTCGCCTATAGATCTTGGAGTTAGCATGACATTAGAATATAAGCCATCCTCAGAGTCCAAATCTCCCAGAGTCTTCTTATCAGTCCAACGTATTCCTCCTGTCCTCTCGCTTCCCACAGTCAGCCGCATATAATCCCCAGTCCACTACAATTAGAAATATCATCGGTGATGTTGGACAGTCTTGTTGTTGTATTACTCCTGTCTTCACTTCAACAGTTTAACTGAGTTTTCCGTTGTGAATCACTTGACATGCTGTATCACCGCATATCTATTAACTGAGGTTGATAAAGGTTTGGGGCACTGCAGTCCCTATTGTTAAAGCAGCTTCCAAATTA